GCACTTATTCTACCGTGATACATGCAAGGTGGCCTAAGCGAACATTGTCCTGGCCGCCGCACCTCGCACGTGGAATCAGTGTGAAGGATCCCCACTCTTCTCTATTTGGCGTGCGGTGGAATACCATCCCTCTCAGTTCGCCGTCCCAGATACGTGGGACTCCATGCGCCATTCTGATGGTTAGTGCATCCGATGGATAACTTGAAGGTCGACAACGGGATAGTAGATTATCATCACTGCGGCTAAACGAAACCGTTGACGTAAGGTTAGAGAACAAAGCCACCATCGACGTAATAGTTCAATGCATATTCTGGTTAGTTAGCGGCCTTTCGGTAGGAACAGCTTGTCCCTGCTGAGAACTTCCCTATTTCAGTCACCGACGGGTGTTGGACACAATATGAAGCCGACCGTACCATGGACTATCAACTGCAAATTCACCTTCAGTAATTTGAACATGCATATCTCAGTAATGTCCCCCACATAGTCTAGCCTTCTTTCTCGCTGTCTAATCTCTGTCATTCAAGGCCAGAACTTGTATTACCTTAAAAATAAAAATCCAAGTTTCAAGTTGAGGCGACTATCGTCGAACTCGAAGGTCGAACATCTAGCCGACCATCATGACGAGAGAGAACATGTCGTCATGATAAATCACGGGAGTCGATAACCGACAAAGAATGTCCCCAGACTTCGACGTACAAACCAAATGGACTCGAACTTGGAGCTTTACGTGCGCTATTTATGTGTCATGACACTTACCTGCTGACAAGTTACGGAAGTGAACGTCCGCAAAGAAGGGAATATAAACATTACCTCTCTCAAATGAGAAGTACACCAGTCGGGTTCTTCCTCGTCGCCTTTGTCTCTTCGCTTCGTCTGAAATTAGCATGCATACGGCATTTTTCAGATTCTTCGCGTTGGCCTTTGCTGCCGTCCAGTTAACTGGCACACTTGCAATACTCCCGAGAGCTTCGAGTCAACGGTCAGGCTGTACAGAGCCATCTACTCGCTTAGAATGGTAACTATTGCTTTCTTGCCACTAGTACGCTCTCAACGCTTCGTGCAGGAACACCTTAACGCAAGAGGAAAAAGACGCTTATTTCGCGGCGGAACTTTGCCTCCTTGCTGCTCCAGCCCAAACTAACATTCCAGATGTCGTTTCGCGCTACGATGACTTGGTTAGTCTTAGCTCATAGTATGCTTCTTTGGGGATATTTTAACTTGTCTTTATCTGATTAGGTGGGTGTCCATTCTGAGCAAAGCGATATGTTAGGCGGCACCGATCGTTGGCATCTAACCGGACAGTCAGTGGCTTATTATTAATGATCATTACTTTCACTTATCCGTAGCATTTTGTGATCTCTTTCGTAGATTCTTACATGTACAAACATTCGTTCCTGGCTCCGTAATCGACAATCTAACTTTATATTGCAGATTCATCGCTACTTCGTCCATGCTCACGAAACACTCTTACGTTCAGAGTGTGGATATACCGGTCCGGTAAGTGCAGGTGTCTTTCGTATTGTCGACCATCAATTAAATATAGCCTTTCTGTTTACGACTTTCAGATCCCTTACTGGAATGAGGTCGTCGACGCCGGTTCATTCAGTACTTCCCCCGTCCTGCTCGACTTTGGTGGGGAAGGCACCGAGGCAAACGATTGGGTCGTCGTTGATGGCCCTTTTGCTAACCTCACACGGTATCTTGGACCTGGGTCGACGAATACGAACCATATGATTACACGGCAGGAGAATGTGACGTGGTCACTCCAGGCGGGACAGACATTCGTGGACAATCTGCTTGAACTAGACAGATTGGCGACGTTCACGGTTACGATGTTTGCTGGCCCTCATGGAGCCGGACATATCGGTATTGGAGGAGAGGTGGGTGACCTTCTTTGTCTACATTGGTGAATTTTATCTCTACCTCTTGATAGGTATTCGATGTACAGACGTCGCCTAATGACCCGATCTTCTGGCTGCACCATGGTTATGTGGATTACGTGCGTACCATCTAGTGTTTGCTGTTTTCTACTCCAGCTGGGCTAATCTGGATTGTTTGTTGCAGTTGTGGTGGAAGTGGCAGGGCGGCAACGAGAGTCGTATCAACGACCTCGAAGGAATAGGGTATGAGACGCAGAAAGAACCCGATACTGGTTATGTTGTACGTCCTAGTGGGATTTCGGGTAGAGCATTTTCTAAACTGTTCCTTACCAGGAAACCAACAAAGACACGGTGTTGTATCTTTTTGATATCCTCCCTAATGCGACGGTATGTCCTAGATTACTCGTTCTGAGGATTCTTCTGATGCCCGCGATGTAGGTTGGCGAGGTGTTAGACACGCAAAATAGTCTTCTATGCTATACTTATGCTTGATGAGGTCCATAGTGCCTCTCCCCCCACTGAAATCGGGAATTAAATTTCTCTTTTACCCAGGCATTCAGTCGGAGGGAGATGCATCTTCTGTTTGTCTTCGAAGACTCCTCTATCCGCGCGGAATTTTATATTTACGTGTGCATAGGGCCTACACGAATCTATGAGTTTAACTTTCGCGACGTCATGTATGACGGTAGAGATCGGTTTCAACCCTTTCATTGGCAGGTACTTCAAAGGTACATCCCCGAGGCCAGAAAACTCTTGAGCCCCCTGCCACAGATCTGCAACACGACAACATGCAGATACTAGTATTCCGGGTCCTCGTTTCCATACAGCACGAGATACATCATTTCCCCGGACCAAAAGTCATTCCGAATGATTCTTGGTTCAACCTTCATACGTCGTTCTCATGGACATTGTATCCGATGCATGAGTAGAATCCCATTTACGGCGAAACGAAGCTAGTGGTGTAAAGTTACCCTTTCATCATATCACTGAAATGAGCGTCAAACCCTTATCGAAGCGCCGACAAAAATACACTATCGGATAAAGCTCCTTGTTGCTTCGTCTGCTTGAGAAGTTACTTCTGAGCTACTTAATTTCTATCAAGGTCACCGTGAGGGATCCCGTTGACAACAAAAAACTAGCAAGGACGTACCACATTTAATTAAAAAAAGGTTCATTAACTATCAACCGCGCGCCCCAATTAAGCCCGAAGTAAAGCTTCTTGTTCATCGTGAAACTCTTCAACACGTGTACCAGCCATTCTATTCCAAACGCCTGCTGATTCCTAGGCAGGTTCTTCTCAGACCTTGCCGGATACGCTCTGCCGCTATACATGTCGACTCTCCTTCCGTATATGAATAGGGAAGAAGTGAAGAGAATGCCGGCCGCTATATAGAATCGATCCCGGCACTCCCTGATCGGACCAACAACACAAACAGCGACTTGAGTTATACTTTCATAAAGCAGGTCGTGCAGAGGGAGACAATATCTCTGAGAGACCGTATATATGCAAGCATCCGGAGCCAGTGGAAATTGTATTCCAGTGCGAATACGCGACAACTCGTTGTCGTTAGCTGGGAGGGGAGAACCATCAAGGACAAGGAAGGTGAAAGTTACCAGGGCCCTCTGCGATGGCACTCGATACGACTGACGGTCTTCATGGAAACATTCCTTGAGACGGAGAAAGACTCGAAAATGAATACAGGTATATTGGAGACTGCACTACAGGCACTCCTCAGTCCCGTTGTTGGTGCAAATTTAGGGTCAGGGCGAGCTCCAAGGGCACTCTTGAAATAAGCAATGTTTGATTTGTAGCAGATCGACCGAAATCTTGGCGCAAAGCTAGGTGTACGTTGCATAGAGGAACTGGTAAGCTTGGCTGGACAATAACCGGCCCCTTCCGCAACTGTACGCTCTTTCAAGTAGCCCAGAAGGATAAACGCGATGATTCAGATCGAAGAAGAGCTTACGACTTTAGCAGAGTAATCCGACGAATAGGCTTGATCGCCCTTACCAGTTGAACTATATTTATGCTGGGCGTCTGTGTGTGTCCGATCAGGCCTCAGGTCAACGCCACAAGAAAAATGAATGAAGAAGAACACACGGGATTCGCAGCGAGAATGACTTGTCTTCACTTATGAATCCTCCTTCCTTCGACGTGCTTTGATCGTGAAAACACGAAGTCTGAGTGAACTGATTCCGAGTCAACTTGTCAACATACAGGTCACGTCGTCTTCAGGCAAGCGATACTAGAGAAAATGATTAATGTGCTTCGACTGTACTAATATGTAGTAATGTGTCATGGTTTTGTGCGTCGCTAGTGTTTGACGACAAATAGGGGGAAATACCGCACGGAGGATGACGCGGACGGATTGATTAAACGCTCCGGCCCGGCCTTTTCAGGTCACTCATACGTCATCCCGTTGTTTTCTTTTCCCCGCAAGTTTCTCCTACTTCATTCAGTCATCGTACAAGTATCATTAATTGGCTTACACGGTGGACGGTGTCTTTACTGAACTCATTTCAGTAGATTATTTCTGACGATCCATCTTCTCTCCGCTGACCAGTAGGGTCTGGTGCGCATTTGCCACGAACAAGGAGCCGGTTCCAAGATTCTGCGTACACTTCCTTCTCAGTCACAGTTATCTCAAGTTCTAATCGTGTTTCAAGGGTATAGGAAGTGTTGCCATAATTGGTTTAGCTAGATTTTGTCCAATGTCGACCCTCCCAAAAACTTGAACTCACCTTTTAGTACTATGAGCCAATTGCTACACAAAGCTACCTGGATCCGAGCCCCTGTTGCGGAATCATAACTAACATGCATATAACAATACGTGTTTCTCTGCATTACTCCCATGGGTGATTTGCGCGAGAGCGACCAAACATACGGTTTGATGGATTTTGATGCATACTGCATGCGTTGTCACATTCTCTCGATCTCGCGACTTTCCATAACGTGGACGAAGCACGTTGTCTCCTGTCGGTAACATTGATAAAACTCTCATTCAATGCCTCCTGTACTACCCGCACTACTGTGGCACAAGAATTTAGCTCGCTCTCCAGATGGTACGTTTTTTGTCATCATCCGTTTGGTTCTTTGTTTTAAATTTTCCAGGCTCCCACCAGCACGCCAATAGACCGTGAGCAACAGGAAGCCTGACGAAGATTGGCCTCCAAAAGCAGTTACTCTCCGGTACGAGTTTGTTTTATGTATACTACGCGCCTCTCATCTTGTTCACTGCGTAGCTGCAACGTCTACCTCCATATTACGATGAACTGCAGCATTTGAAGGCTGTGGAGGAGCAGCTCGTCAAGGATTATGATAACCCGGGGATGGTTTATGGGGATAACATCGACTCTACGGCCCTCCGGCAAGAAGCAAAAAGGCGTGCTCGGTTAGCATCGCAAAATAATCCTAGTCCAGCATCAAGCGGCGACGATGTGAAGGATTTGGACAAGCTTTACCACCTTCGTTTTGAAGATACGTCGAATCTTCAGCAACCCGTTCCACGTAAATCATCCACTCTGACTCAAGGGGTGAGCATATATCCTTAACAATGGATCCTTGTACTTATCTCACCTGTGGTAGGCCCCGTACAAAGTCGACGCATCTCGCTTTTGGGCCGTTCTCGTCGGCATAGATGCATATGAGTCTAATCCCTTGCAAGGCTGTGTATCGGATGCATTGTCAATGAAGGAATTCCTAATCAAGAAGCTTGGGGTGCCAGAACGTCGTATCCAATGTCTCCTCGGCTCCGAAAAAACCTCTCGTGACGATCCATTAACACCTTCCCGTGCCAACATCGTCGACATGATCTACAGTCTCATTGATAACCCTGAAATTCAACGGAACGACAATGTTGTTATCTATTACGCTGGGCATGGCTCGAGCTATTATTGTTCTGAGCAGATTCCCGCTGCATCGGAATCCAAGGACTGCTGCAGCAGCGATGCCTGTCCCATAGAGGCATTGTGCCCCATCGATCGTGATACCATGGACAACGATGGGCATCCAATACCCGACATTAGCGACAGAGAGCTCAATGCCCTCTTCACCCAGATATCTCGCACTAAAGGGCATAAAATCACATTCATCGCAGACTGCTGTCACGCTGGCAGTGTGAGCAGGGATGCTGTTTCACAACCAGGAGTTCGCACCATGTTCCCAACCCTTCACTCTGGTTTCAACGATATGTTACTCGCTGCCCATGAGCGGCTGATTCATTTATCTGGCTATAAATCTGTATTATCCGAGGATTGGCAGCCAGATATGAGTTCTCATGTAGTTCTGGCAGCTTGTCAGGATTGGCAGACTGCGCGGGAGACTCGTGTGGGAGGTAAATGTGGCGGGAATTTTACTAGGCAACTTATTCGTGCTCTGAGCTCAGGTACCTGGAAGAAGGAAACGACATACATCAGACTTATGGATTGTCTGAATCACTCTCATTCGCAGACTCCGGTCGTTGCTGGGGAACACAAAGACGAGTGTCTTTGGTATCAGGATGCTGCTACATAGGGACTGCGTATTGTACATGAATATGGCGCCTGTACCGGAATCAATACTCTTCTATTTAGTTATTTCACTGCTGTACTTTGATAGTACGTGATGGGCATTTTAGAAAGGAAGATATGGATCTTATAGACCCTGACCCTGAGTACTTGCTGCGAAATCTCACCGAACCGGCTGGACGAGACAATCCCCGAATAATGATGGTACGATGGGTACTACTCGATAGGGTTTATTAGTGTGAGATTGTTTAAAGATGAGATCCAGATGAGATGAGTGACAATACGTAAACCTGAGTGACAAATTTTAAGAATGAGAAGGTACTGAGGTTGTGTGATGAGGTTGTGATGAAGAATGCAGACCTCGGCGTCGTGCAGAGGCCGGGCCCGGCGTCAGTGGCTGTGCAAGCTGACCACAATGTTCATCCCCGGGTTGACGAGGTCGATGATAGTTTATTATTATTTACCTGAGCTTGTATTTAGCAGAGTCGGCCAATAACAACTGCTTCACTGTTTCTCCCCTCTACCTATGATTTCTGCTGGTCCCCTTTTCTGACCGCAACACTCTTGTCACTTCTCTGGACCTCGGACGTTGGTCTTGGTGAAGCGTATGCAGCCGTCGACGGTCATTTTGTACGCTGCTAATCAAATGTAGTACAAGCCCTTTTCACACCAAGTTCGATTTTCGTGGATAAAAAATAAATAGGAATTTCGTTTTCAGTTACCCATCACATAGGAACCTGTTCAATTCATGTCCTATAAAAAAGAAAGTTTATTTTAGAAACTCAAAGAGGTTTGAAAACGTAATGATAGTGTTGTGTCACAGAATGTCACCACAATCCCACCAGATGAGATTGAGATTGGACGAAATGTAGATGAGGTTCTGGATAAGCTCAAGGCATGCAGTACCCGTCGTAATAATACTGGAGAAGATTTTTGTCCAAGATCTTAGATTGGACAAGACTAAGGTAGTATAGTTGTTGCTCAGCTGTCGTGAATATAATGAATCATGACATAGCCTATGATATAACTAATAGAACACGACCCTACATGATTGATGGGCAGGAGGCGCCCGGCCACGCGTCACATTTTCCAAAGGCAAGTTTGATAGAGACACTTTAGAGATAGTAATAAAGTGTCTTTAAAATTGACAACTCACTGTCATCCACGAAAGGGAGGTACGGGCAAGGGAAAGGCATACAGATAAGGTGGAGTGCCGACGCGCGGCAATGTCTCGACAAACACCGTGAGAAATTGATCGTAAGTGCTTTTACCTTCGTTCTACCACTGCCAGATGTTCCTGAGGTTGTTACAACCAAGGTGAGCCAGCAAAATTGACATACATGGAAAGCACGCAACGGGGACTCAAAAAATGAAATCTAAAAGCATTCCAAAATCTCACCGGAAATGAACAATCGCAGAACCGCGTAAGGCCTACGGCGATCAACAGTGTCACATGTGACTTGCAAGGAAGCACAATGTTCGGAATCAACTGTGATTCAACTGAACTAGAATATGTCAGCCTGATCCTTAGGGACGGCAGAGGTGGCAGACGGAGTTGCAATGAATCAAAGTTGGAATGCATCACAGGCGTCGTGACTCTTGGCTACAAATTTTCAAACAAACTTTAATGGCTTTTCGGAGGCTTAGCTGCTACATCGCTTACTTAGCGCTCCGTTAAGTTGTGGGTTCCATTTCTGCCAGGCTGTCATTGGCAAGTTATTCATCTCAATGGTTGTTCAGGCGACGGACCCTTTCGGCTAAACTGCGGAGCTGCCATGGAATTCGAGTTAAGGCAAACAGTATCTTCTCTTATACTCAACTTCAGGTCCGCGCGCGCCAAGCATCTTAACAATACCCCACAACAAAGTCCGGCTTCGCTGGTGGCTTTAACCTAGTTTCATCGACACGAGTCACACTGCTGTGGTAAGCCGGTATTTTGAGGGGGTCAGATACTTTTGTGTTTTTTGCACCGTATTTTAGTCGCAAATCCACCTGAGAAAATACTGAATGAAAACCTGACCGTTTTTTGAATGAAATTTACCTAAGAAGATTTCGGGGGCAAATCCCGCTTAAAAAATGGTGCGTATTTGGATCCGTCTTTGTACGCCAAAACCTTCCTTCCAAATACGGATCCAAATACGCACCATTTTTTAAGCGGGATTTGCCCCCGAAATCTTCTTAGGTAAATTTCATTCAAAAAACGGTCAGGTTTTCATTCAGTATTTTCTCAGGTGGATTTGCGACTAAAATACGGTGCAAAAAACACAAAGGTATTTGACCCCCTCAAAATACCGGCTTACCACAGCAGTGTCAGTCACGTATACTTGAATGCTGCGACTAAGTACATAAACGCCGATACTTCTGGAAATTTTCTTGTGTCCGGCTGCCCCTGATACTGTGAATCCGTGCCACAGGAACAGAACATATTTCATGGAGAGAGACCGTGACCGTTGACCGTTGAACTATGCATAGGTCTCAAACAAGACAAGATGAGTTAATTTCGTGTGTGAAGGCAGACAAAGTGGCGGTGGATATAGCTAGCTTTTTAGTAGAATACAGTCAAATTTATCGCAGTAACACCCTCATGGTCTATTGCCAGCGAGTCCCTTACCCCACACGAGGCTTTGCACCAGACTCTGCCCACATCGTCAACGCCCAACAACTCTTCCATGGCAAGCAAACTATCGTTTCCTTCAGTCCTCCATCGGACTGTATGTCTCTTGTCGTTATTCGTACCGTTCCTTATGATGTCAAACAAATTTACAGACGCACCGCAATGCAGACTATCAAATACAACCAGCCTCACCAGGACCGCCAGTAGACTCCCAAGGCAACACTTCCCCCGTACGAGTTCGCATAGTGGATGCTGGTAGCCCTCCTCTCATCAGATTCACGGCGTAGGCACTATCTCAACATCCAGACATTCAGGAGCTAGAGGCTCTGGAGAGACGGCTTGCGCAGACGTTTGGGATGGCATCTCCTAGAGGCATCGACTCTGCGGCGGTCTTGCAAGAAGCACAAAGACGGGCCGAGTCACCGTGGGGACGTTTGTGCCGCATTGTCCAGGTTCTCCTTCGAATGTTCAACTTATCGACATCGAGCGACGATGATGTAAAGCAATTGAAACGGCTTTACGAGCTCCGTCGTAACCTTCCTGTACCTCATCCTGAGTCTACCCTGGTTCCAGCTGTAAGTGTAGTGTCCCTAACATCCGACCCTTGTTGCTGATCCCAGTTGACTTAGGTCCAACACCACGTCGGCATGTCTCGCTTTTGGGCTGTCCTCATTGGTATCGATGCATATGAGTCTTATCCCTTGCACGGGTGTGTATCGGACGCATTGTTAATGAAGAAATCGCTGATCGAAGACGTCGGGGTGCCCGAAGAACGAATCCAGTGCCTCCTCGGTGCACGAAATCTTACCCCTGGCAAGTCTTTAACACCTTCCCGTGCCAACATCGTAAACACACTCCAGAGTCTCATTACCAACCCTCAAATTCAGTGGGGAGACAATATCATCATCTATTATGCCGGACACGGGGCGAGCTATTACTGTTCAGAGCATTTTTCCACAGAAGAACCTGAATGCCAGACTGGTGATTGTCCCATCGAGGCATTGTGCCCCATAGACCGCGACAGCAAGGACTCTGATGGACACTGGATTCCCGACATCTGCGACCGAGAGCTCAGCGCGCTGTTCACGCAGATATCCCAGACTAAGGGACATCACATCACGTTCATTACGGATTGCTGTCACGCCAGTAGTTTTGAAAGACAGGGTGGAGATTCAGCGATTCGCACGACACGCCCGACCTTTCACTCAGATGTCAACGATATGCTCCGCATTGCGGACGACGGGCTGAAGCATTTACCTCATTACCGATCCATATTATCCAAGGATTGGGAACCCGAAATGGGTTCTTACATTGTTCTGGTGGCGTGTAGGGATTATCAGTATGCGAAGGAGACCAAGGGCGAGGAGGGTTACCACGGGATATTTACCAAGATACTCGTCGATGTGCTGAAATCGGGCGTTTGGAAGAAGAAGGAAGTAACATATGTTGAACTCACTCATCTTCTGAATCAGTCATACTCCCAAACGCCGGTTCTTGCTGGAGACCATAAATACGAGCGCCTTTGGTATCAGGCATAAAAGGCTTCGCCTAGGGCGTTGTAAGGCGAGCCATCCAGCTTGACGGCAATTTCATATTTAATAGAATTCTTGGCACGTACTACGATGACACTAAGCGCCGGCGTCCAGCTTAATAGTCTAAATGACTACTAATATTAAGCCCGCCTGGTCACATGTTTGCCTTTCAATTTGAAGGCTTTAGTTTTCACTTCCTGTCTAAACGACGTTATGAGACGTGCGGTGAACAAAAAACGCCCGGACTTACCTCATCGACCCATGTCTCCTCTATTCATTATATCCAGCCATCCGGCTTCTTGTGCTTAACACTTCTGCTTAGGAAGATCCTTGTCCTCACACCAGTGTATAGCGTCTGTCTTCTTGGAGCGCACGAAATAGCTCGCGTACGCATGGTTCCGCGTGTAGCTCGGTGTGAACAAAACGCGTGCGTTAAAACTTTGTGCGATGATGATCTCCCACGCAATCTTGATCCATAAGGCACAAGCCGATGGGCCAGGACGCAACCGGATAGGATGAACTAATTTAGCAAGCTCGACGAAACCACATAGCACCCCTCCTTCTTTTGATCCACATCACATCTCTAGAAAAAGAAATGCTCAGAGACTACAAAATCTCAGCGAACCGATATCAGGACTGTCCTAATCAACGAGGCATTAGCAAGAAGTTAGATTTTCAGAGTGAATTGAAGACGCACTTGCATACTTTTGGTCTCTCACGATAATTGATGCCCACGGACCGCGTGTGGATAGTATAGCGCCGGATGGCGAATGAGACGAAGGAGAGGAACACTATTCCATTTGACCAGACCCGATGCGGTGGTGCTGGGAAAAGACAATCATCATCACCGCAAAAACTGGTTCCGGCAACTTGAGGTTGGAGGCTAACACGACGAGATCAGTGAGAGTGCGATGAGGTTTCGCGTCTTCTAACCATCGGTCCCGGTTAAGGTCGATACCCGGTTTCCCGATTTCGGAGTGAACGTTGTAGGCCGTCGTTACATAACCCAGTCCTATTGGTCAAAGGTCCATCCCCCCTGACATGCCACGCTCCGTTTTATCCAAGCCACGACGTTCCACACATGCATCCCTATCCGTCGGCGAAAGACTCAGCGCATGCTAGCATACGCGATTATATCGGTGAATAGCGTTTGTCCTTTTCTTGGAGCGTACGGTGGAGTTTGCTCGAGTACGCACGGTCTTGCGGTGTAACTCGGGACGAACAGCGCGTTTACACGGTGATAAGCTCCCATACTTGCACCAGTGTCCCTCGCGCAAGCTTGATCCAACGGAAGCCACGCCCTGCAAGCCAGCCTGAGGATGATGGGCCAGGACGCAACTGGGTAGGCTATACTGGCAGTCTTGCAATGTTCAACGTCGACGCGACGAAGTAAGCACTATTGAATGGCGTTAAGAGCACCATCGTCGTTTCACAGGTATAGACTAGACATTGTCAAGCGAATTTCAAAGTCAAGAGCTGGATAGTACCTTACCGAAAGTTGTACGTTTTCAGGCAAAGTTGATTACGATTCTTCCGAGCCAAGCCATGAACGAAATACTCAAGGGAGCTTCCCCTGTTCACCATAAAAGAAAGATGATTAAGTATAAAGAAAGCTTGAGCATCACAAACGACGTACCGACAAAGGTCCTCTCTGTATGCGTAACTATGGCGAGCTCAAGAGCCCTTTTTTTGTATCCCTCGACGCCGAAATTTGTCCTGTAGCAAGCATCCCGTCGCCCCAGCAATTTAAAAGGACATAGGTGTACGCTCGGTGATGGGATCCATTTGGGCTACCTACGCACACAAACACACGATCCTAATGTCCGAGTCGAAACTGCAGCGAGTAGAGAATGCGGGATGACCGTGGGTGGCTGGGTAGACTTTTCAGCAGTATTTGAGATCACTGTTGGAGTCGCAGCATCCTGTGTAGAACGACGATTGGCGCCGATGAATTTGTGAAAGGTAGGGTTGGCGTAGTGATAGACAGAAACAAGACAGAAATGCGGATTGGAAGACACAGCCACCACGTGGATCTCCGGCTTAGCGGTCCGAACCACTGCCTGCTGCAGCACTAAGGTCATCGTTGGGTCATCGAATTTGCATCGAATAATATTGGTAGTACATTTTTTATATTCTGTCTTCACTACAAGATCACCATTAATTTAGAGATCTCAGATTCGATCTATGTCGTAATGATGTCACCTGCCGACACCATATTCACTGGCGCAGATATTTTTATCTCTGATTGGCCATTCCCGTAACCATTCCCACGAGGCTGGGTTTACATTTCGAAAGCCTATAATGGACATTCCCACGAGGATAAAATTAAATTCCGAAAATGATTATTTCGCTAATACGATACCCATTAAATATCATGCCTGATACCATAGGTGCTCATATTTATGGTCCCCAGCAACGACCGGAGTCTGGAAATAGTCCCGATTCAGACGCTCGGCCAGCCCAACGTATGTCATTTCCTCCCAGTTATTCGACTTCAAAACACTAACGAGTGTCTTGGTAAAAACTCCACCGTATCCATCCTTTTCCAAAGTTTCCTTTGCATACTGATAATCCCTACACGCTGCCAGGACCACATGAGAACTCATATCTGGAAACCAATTCTTCGATAACACGGATCGATGGTGAGGTAAAATTTCATCTGCAGCGCGTAACATATCGTCGACATTGGAACGGAGAGTTGCGCGCGTGAAGCGTAGCCCTGCTTCCGGATCTGGATCCCTGCTCATGCCGCCCGCGTGACAACAGTCTGCAATGAACGTGATTTTATGCCCCTTGGCGCGAGATATCTGTGAGAAGAGAGCATTGAGCTCGCGGTCGCTTATGTCGGGTATTGGACGCCCATCGGCGTCTATGGTATCGCGATCGATGGGGCACAGTGCCTCGATAGGACAGATATCATTGCTGCTGCTGCACTGGGATTCCAGTGAAGTGGAGAAATGCTCTGAACAGTGGTAGCTCGAGCCGTGCCCGGCGTAATAGATGATGATATTGTCGCCCCATTCGATTTCAGGGTTGTTAATGAGACTGTGGAGCATGTTGACGATGTTGGCGCGAGAAGGAGTTAATGGATCGCCATGAGAGGGTTTTCGAGTGCCGAGGAGGCATTGAATACGATGTTCTGGCACGCCGATGTTCTCGAGTAGGAGTTTCTTCATCAATAATGCATCCGGTACACAGCCGTGTAAAGGATTAGAATCGTATGCATCGATGCCGATGAGAACGGCCCAAAAACGAGATGCGTCAATGTGGAATTGTGCCTACGACACAATGGGGATGAGTACGAGGGTAGATGATTAGGGTTATACGCTTACGCCTCGGGTCAGAGTGGGAGATTCACATCGGACAGATGATAACTGGCGAGGATTGGACGCGTCTTTGAGACGAAGGTGATAGAGTCTGTGCAATTTCTTTTCATCATCATCGTCCGAAGCTGAAGTGCTGACCTTTCGAAGGAAAGTCAGCAGTGCGCTGCGAAATTGTCTCCGCGGCAATTTAGAATGCCTTCTGGCTTCTTGTAGGACCGCTACAGAGTCGATGTCTTCAGGAGAGGCCATCCCGAACTTCTGTGCAAGTCGCTCCTCGACATCCGTCAAAGGTCGTATTTCCTGAAGCTCGGGATCTGTAAGTGGCACCTATGCAGTAGTTTCGATGAGCGGATCACAGTATACGTAAAACACACTCGTACTGGAGCATAATTGCTTTTGCAGGCGAGCCTTCGTAAGGTTGCTTGGGATGGATGACCGTTTGAAACCTGTTGTGTAGAGAATTTCAGTATGTAAGGAGCGGGATGGATGGCGAAAAGATATGTACCATCTGGAAGTTATCACGGGACGCAATTGCAACAGTAAAGTTGTTGTTCACCAGAAAGTGTAGGTAGTGCAAGAGGCATGAGACTAAAGCGTGTCGGTAAGACGGATAGGATGCAACGTGTGTTCGTACATATCAAAGAATACGCTTAACGGAGCTTCTCGGCGTATTAGTCTGAGGACTCTCCTCATTGGGTCCACTTCGCCGTTTTCAAATGTTACTCGGAACGATTTCCCAGTGTCGCCCCGATATGCCACCTTAATGGACCTTTTATGCACTGATTGAGGATAGACGTGAAGTTGATATTAGAGCAAGTTATCAGACCACGCGAAGGCGAAACCGATGACTAAAATTTACCCTTTCCATCATGATTCATATCATAGTAATCATCGAAGCTCCCCCAAAATCGACGATGGTCAAAACTTAACGAGTTGCTATAGAACCAAGATAGAAATAAGTAAATCCCATTGTCAACAAAACAAGTAAAGGACGTACCAAAACTTGCAATGAGGTTCTCAACTACCAAGTGCTCGCGACCAATTAGAAGCGAAGAGAAGCTTCTCAGCATCGAAGTACTCATGACGGTTCAGAATACTACGAAGAGAACGTGAGATCACCCTACAATAGATACCAAAGTCACACGGACCTCTCGGTACTGGTAATAGGTATAGCCGACTTAGAAGATCATCTGATCCGTGGCACGAGAGCCTCCGGAGAGTTATAATATGCCTAGTCTTTGTGCTGAGACTTTGGATAGATCTGGTCAAGCCAATGCTACAGGAAAAGAGGAATGAAGGAGCGTGCACAGGGTATTCACGTGGCGAAAAGAACTGGTCTGCGTATATGCATTCTTCCTCCTCAGACACGCATCTGACTCAGTCGCGAGGATAGGCGAACGTAGGTTATTAAGGTCACGAAATTTCTGAGGTTGTCCAAGATTGAAACCACGAAGCCAGGTGATTTGATTCTTGTCAACATACGAGGGAGTCGTTTTCCTTCCGGATACGCAGGAATGCTAATAATACCAGTAAAAATTAAGTAGGAATGGAAATCGTGTCCCAAATCACCTCTATAAATCTATATGATTAATGATTATGCAATGAAAAGTTGGAAGAACACGCAATCGTATATCGATGTAATCTAGACTTTTCCTATCGATTACCAGAACGTGATACTGGAAGACATCCTCCACGGCACTTCGGCGTAGATAAGAGGTCACAGAAAATTTGGTCGCCTTGAGTCGGCAGTGGTCACAATCAAACCAACATTCAGAAACGACCGGATATTTCGGACCGAAAGGCCTTGAACATCCACGTGGTGGCTGTGTTCTTTAAACTCGTCGGCCACGCACTCGTCGCGTCTCTTCCAATCTTTCATTCGAATTTCATGCTAATATCAAGGAAACATCGATGTCTGTGACTGTCTACCACCACCAGTTCGACTTCATACTCGGCATCATACCGTCACGAATCCAGGCGTTAATCAATGTTACACACGGAATTCCGTAACTTCGAATCTGCACAAGGATCAAAGATCTACGTTGATCTCTATCTGTAGCACGACCGACATGTGACATTTTAGAGCTTCGAGAACGAGGAGGAGGACGGAGACCAGCAGAGGGCTGTGGCAGAGATCATTGCATGGAGGTATGACGAAGGAAGTAGTTTCCGGACGGTGGACGACGGGCGACGGTAACCGTTTGGAACGAGGACACTCAAAGGCGTAGCTTACGGTGACGCTGCTACCAAACGACCCATGGTCATCCACATCATCCCACATAAGCTTCGCCATTGGAAACCAACGGATAAATGAATGTTTTCCCCCTCGACATCGGCAGGCAGTCCATTCCAATCCCCTTCAATTACTGCGGTCCTGCGACTCCCTTTTTCCATGTCGATATAGGGAGCACTGGCTATCGGTACGTCCGTTTACGATGCCAAGCTCTTCATACTCGATCACCTTAATTTTAGCGAAAAGCGAAAGCTCCTTGATGCTGAAGGCTGGGCTCGGAAGCATCCTTCGTAGTGTGCAGCTTTCAGTAAGGTATACTGCTTTTCACTGTGACCATCGTCTAACAATTGTCTAGTCAGAACCAGTAAAACGACGATAGCGCACCCAAAGCTCTCGCCTCATTGCGTCGACATCGAACATCCCAAGGCTGGCGGGCATGGCTTCCGTTTGTTCAAGCTCGTGCGAAGGTCACCGATGCAAGTGTGGGAGCTATGAGCCACTACACTATCCACATGCTGTCCATGAGTATCAAAAATAAAACTGTGGGTGCATCTTCCTTCAATTCTTAATTGCCACTCTTCATCTAATTCTGGAAATCAACGTTTCCTAATATCCGATTAGGATAGTCTTACCGTTTTTACTGATATTTTGCGGTCGATGAGCTTTTCCTTGGCTGGGATGTGATCTAAGACGATCGCAGGAGGGGGGTCGAATTGCAGCCGAACTCGCCAAGTGGATCATCCGTACGTCCTGATACGTTCCTCTTACTCTCTTATGCTGATCTCTTGCAGATACTTGACACTCTGACGAAGGAAGCTTCGTTGCGTATACTACTTACGATGTTCTGGACCCTGGTTCTTAGGCTCTCTGACCTTTTGCGATGAGTGTACACAACGCGATTCCACCCTCTGTTCTTCTTTCTCCAACCTGGCGTATGATAGGACTCGGCTCGAAGAATGCATCTGCATTGGATCCTACCGCTCGGAGCTGTTCAGTATGAACTAGGTTGTAATGAGGGAAACTTTAATGAGGGTTTGTTCCTTGCTCCTTATATTCAAGCGAACACCGTATTAACAGATTCTACCCAGATCTGAAAGAACGGGAAAGGACGCTCGCAGCATAGTCATAGCGGCGCAACAAACCTTGATCGGCCGTTATGACAGCCTCTGAGAAAGATAATGGTGGAACATTATAATTAGGTTGCTGTCTGTTCGGAAACTTATGGTTGGTTTTGCTATCTCGTCTTGCTACGGCTAACCAGATAGCATTCACAGATAAAACAAGTAAAACTCTTTTCGCCAACTGTAGTGCGAGGCCGTAAATTGACATCATCCCTCGCCGAGGTCGACACAAAGTTCCAAACTAGTGCGTTATAACCACCCCCCATCACGATATTCCAACTCAGAACATCATATACCCTTGAGAAGTTGTGTTTCCCCTGTCCTCCTTCATGAAGTACATCGCAATTCTAGCTCTCACCCCCTCACAATGACATCGTCCAGGACGGAATACGCGCACGGATCTAGAGATACGATAAGCGTGGCTGTGGTGACGGCATCGTGACGCGTAGAGCAATCTGGCGGGGTGAACAAATTAGTGTCTACGGAAGGGTGACGACGGCAATGCCCATACTGAAAGTGGACCGTGTGTCCTCTTTGAACCTGGGAGCGGGCCAGATGACCTTTCTTTGCCGGAGAAAGCTGGGCAATGTAGTCTTGGTACAGACAGTCTGGAGAGCGTTGCAGAGCGTCACGCAAGAGACATCGGGTGGCTGTTACTCTCTCTCCCAACACATGCTCCCTGGTCAAACCGACGTCAACTAGGGAGGAGACGTTTCTTTGTGACGTGGAACGAACGTTGGAATAGTGGAGGCGTCAGACTTTATTCCTCTCATATGGTGTGGTCGTTACACGCGGCATTTGTAGGGAATTTTTTTGCTTCTCTCTCAAAATGGTCAAGGAATGAAGTAGCCGTGAGTCGTACCCATGCCCTTCTCTGA